ACCAAGTTAAATGAATAAAAGCCTATAAATAACATCTCCTTAGTTCAAGACTAACTCATTTTGCTTCAAATGAGTTCTAAACTTAAAAAAAAAAAAGATCTTTGTGATTTTCAGAGCATTTTGAATTCCAGAATTATAGATTGAACCTATTATTGCATTCCAAGCACAAACCTACAGAGATCCAGGTCTTTTTACTTTTTTTGCCCCCCTTTTTCTTGAGATGGGCATTTCACTCTGTTCCCTATGTTGCCCTGGCCGGTCCAGGACTCATAGAGTCATGCTGTCCTCCTGCCCCAACTTCCTGAGTAGCAGGGACTACAGGAGCGTACCAGCATTCCTGACAAAAGGGACCTCTTGAGAATAAATAAAAGTTAACTTTATTGAATATATTAGAAAACATCAAAAAGAATTAGTAGATTGGGCTGTAATGCCAGCAACTTAGGAAGCTGAAGCAGGAAGATTGAAAGTTAAGTTCAGCTTCAAAAACATAAGACTGTGTCTCAAAATAAAAATAAAAAGGACTGGGGATGTATCTCAGTGGTAGCATCCCTGGGTTCAATCCCTAGTACTAAAAACAAAAAGAAAAAAAATTAAGAATAAGATGGATTGATATTAACTTGATAATATCCACCAATGAACTGAAAAATACAATTAGTACACACACTTTGAGTGAAGGTTAATGAGGGCTGGGGATGTAATTTAGTGGTAAAGAACTTGCCTTAAATGAGGATTAATGAGATTGTTCCTGGCATGTAACATTGGTACAACAACCCTAATTTTATCTTTTTTTCGAAATTTGGTTGGAAAAATAGTATTTTACTATGCTAGTGGTTTTCATTCATCACTTTTTCTCTTTCAAATGATCACATTTTGGGTACAGATTTGAAAAGTAAGGACTCAGATATCTGTCTGAACCTTCTGTGCCCTTATAGTAACTTTAAAATGAATTTAAATTAAGCTGGGACAATGGCAATGCCTGTAATCCCACCTACTCAGGAGACTGAGGCAGGAGAACCACAAGTTCAAGGCCAATTTAGCAAGACCTTGTCTCAAAAAATAAAAAGAACTAAGGATATAGCTCAATGGTAGAACAACCTGGGTTCAATCCCAAATAAAAGGAATGGAGGGAGAGGATGGGAATGAATCTTGAGAGGTATCTGAGGACAAAATAGTTGAGATGTGTTAAAATTGATTTATCAAAAGTACTAGAATGTTAATTTCCTTTATTCTTTAAAATTATTTAATTTATAATTTTTTAAAGATCTTAATATTTTATTCTAAATGGACTGGAAATTTTTAAAAACTTAACATTGCTAATTTTTAAAGCCTTCTCAAACTCATTTGAACCAGTTCGGGTTTTTTTGTTTTGTTTTGTTTTGTTTTCCTTAAGGAAAAATCAGTTAAATGTTTTATCTCTAATTAAAAACCTTTCCAAAATTTCATTCAAAGGAAACTTATATTTTAGCAGTGTCTTTTTTAATATTATTGTCTCTGTGTTATCAATATTAGTATTAACCAAATAGTACAATTAGTGACACACTTTAAGCATATACAGACAGCATGGAATCTGAGCCAGCAGGGTCTCAATACAGGCTCTAGACCCACGGCTTAGTGGTTGAGTGGCTTTAGGGAAAAAACAACCCTTTTCTTCTCTTCCTTCTTTCCCTTCTCCTCTCCCCCCGCCGCCCCCCTATACACACTCACTGTTTTGAGACAGGGTCTTACTAAATTGCCCACACTGGCCTCTAACTTGTGATCCTCCTACCTTAGCTTCCCAAGTAGCTGGGATTACAGACATGTACCATCTTGCCCAACTGATACATAACCTTTTCTGAGCCTAGATTTCTATACTGATAAGTTGAAAATAATAATTTCTGTGTATTAGGATTGTTTTGAGAACTAAATGAAATTATGTTTCCACCCAAATTCTCAACATTCAAAGTAATCACTGGTAAAATTATATAGATATGGATACACAACTTCATATAAATAGATTTATACTAACCAAACTTGAATTTAATCTCTAGCACTCATTAAATTCCAAATAAATTTATATTTCAGGAATATTATTAAATTTTTATTGGGACCCTTTTGCTCTTTGGTTAGGCTAAACTCCCAGATAATGCTAGAAAGATATCTGGAGCTCAGAGCAATAGCATTATTTTATTTTATTTTTTAGTACTAGGAATTGAACTCAGGGGCACTTAACCACTGAGCCATATCCCCAGACCTTTTTTTAATTGTATTTAGAGACAGTGTCTCACTGAGTTGCTTAGGGCCTTGCTAAATTGCTGAGGCTGGCTTTGAACTCGCTATCCTACTGTCTCAGCCTCCCAAGCTGCTAGGATTATAGGCTGCACCACTGCACCCTGCTACAGTAGCATTATGAACATAATTTTTTTATTACATAATTTTTGAGACCGTTATCCAGAGAACATTATTCTCTCTGGCCAAGAAATGATCCTACTTATTCTAAAATTTATTGCTGGGTTGCTGACAACCTGAGATTCCATCTCCAGACATGTTGATTTATAAGTAAGGAAACTAAGGCCTGGAGAAGCGGGGTTAAGTTAGCCAGGGTGACACATAAATGTATTTTAGATTTCAATGACTTCTTCTTAAAATATCTAATAAGTTCCATAAAGTAAGAGTTTGCAGAAGTCACTAAATTTGGAGATTCAGGTTTATTCCTTCTTTATTCATGTTTGAATGGATTTTAGAGTGCAAATTTAAACATACAGCAGATTATATTAGATGACCTTTAATTGGATGAGTGGAGAAAAGATGTCAATTCTAAAGTCAGCTCTGAGAACCTGCGCTAAAATTCATGGCACTCAGTAAATTAGTTCTCTTTCTCCCCTCTTTATTCTGTTCTTACCCACATAGAATAATTTTGACTCTCATCAGTCAAAAACTCATTCTAATAAAGTAAGTTTGTTCTTTTGTCTCTGAAGGCACAGTCCTAATAATCTAGTACCCTGGCCCTCACTTTGGAATCAGGGCATTCAGTTATATTTGCGTAACTAGCATTTACTAAGGACATTCCTTCCTGTGTTTGTGTTAGGCCCCAAACTAGGTGAAACACTGCTCAGGCCCTCAGATTGCCTAAGAGCAAACTGAAGCCAGTGCAGCACTGGCATGGCTTGATGTTGGCCTGATAGTGAAGACTCAGTGACTTCTAACAAACTAATCAATTAATATAATGGGTATAGTCAAAGTAAAAGAGCCCCTTAGTCATCTGGAGAAGTCAGGGAAGATTTCCTGAAAAGGTAGCACTTGAAATGAGACTAGGAGTTTGTTTATGAACAGTACAATAAATAAATAAATAGGAAAACTATTCCAGCCAAAGGAAATAGAACTCAAAAGCACAGGCTTGTATTTAGATTGACATTTATTTTGCAGGAAAAGAACAACGTGATTCTGAAACATTTTTACTAATATCTCATGATTTCTAAAATTATTCTATTTCTGAAGATCTCAAGAATCAAATTTAGTTGACCCTCCTGTACCTTAATAGAATTCGTAAACTGACACCTAACCTTTTATAGCATCCCTCTTCAAGTTCTAATTTGTTTGTGTGTATATGTGTATGTTATTCTGAGATTATATGTATGCTTCTTTACAAATAAGCAAATTGAGTAAGTGAGCTTTTCCAGAGCTAAGCTATAGTACTGTTATTTAATTATTTAATTCTCATATTCTGCTTCAAAAAGATACCAATGTTCTTTAAATTAGGTGCTTCATGTCTCTTATATGTTACCATTCTTTTATATATTTCAAATACATTTTTAAAAGAATAAAGGGAAAATATTTTAAAAATGAACTAAAAATTAAATTAGTCATCATTAAAAAGAAGCAGTCACCTGCAGCTCCTTCACTATAATCAACCACTGTAAATATGACCACTCTAAAAGATAGTGATCTAGGGGCTGAGGTTATAGCTCAGTGGTAGAGTGCTTGCTTCTCACTTGTGAGGCACTGGGCTTGATCCTCAGCACCACATAAAAATAAATAAAGATATTATGTCCATCTTTAAAAACAAAAGATAGTGATCTACACTATAGCCTAACTGATACGATTTGGGGGATGGTTGGGGGAGTTCCGGGGATTGAACTCTGGAGCACTTGACCACTGAACCACATCCCCAGCCCTATGTCGTATTTTATTTAGAGACAGCATCTCTCTGAGTTGGTTTGTACCTCACTGTTGCTGAGGTTGGCTTTGAACTTGGAATCCTCCTTTCAAAGCCTTCTGATTCGCTGGGATTACCATATGCCTGGATGGTAGGATTTTTGATAGTGACGATGGCTGAGAATATTGCTCTGTGTGATGTTTAGCACCTGGACTGTGTTTGCTTTGTATAATATTTTATTTATTAAGATATATGTTATAAAGAGCTTTCACATGTCTTCTGTGACCTGACTTCAGAATTCATGAAAAGATTAAATTGCAAGTGAGTCTCTAAAATTCTTTCCATTTCATTATACCTCTTTTTATTCTAAAAATCCTCTTTGGACAATTCATATTTAGGAAATTATTTTTTAGCTGGACACAGTGAAACATGCCTATAATCCCAGTAGCTCAGGAGGCTTGAGGCAGGAGGACTGTGAATTGAAATCCAGCCTCAGTAATTTAGCAAGGCCCTAAGCAACTAAGTGAGACCCTGTCTCGAAATAAAAAGGACTGGGGATGTTGCTCAGTGGTTAAACACCCCTGTGTTCAATACTCAGTGTCAAAAAAAAAAAAAAATTCTTTTTTTTCTTGCCAGGAACAGTAACACACACCTTTAATCCCAGCTACCCAGGAGGCTGAGGCTGACCTCAAACTTGGGATCCTCCTGCCTCAGCTTCCACAGTTGCTGGGATTATAGGTGTGTGCCACTATACTCAGTATGTCTTGTTTTTTAAGTGCTAAGTGAAGGCCCTTTGGTCCAACTACTGAGTTTAATAGTTGCAATCAGGATAACAATATTTTTCTCTCTGTTCTCTCTTGTGTTGTAGAGTCGACAATTAGAATCAGAAACTGGGACCACAGAGGAGCACAGTCTAAATAAAGAGGCTAGGAAATGGGCCACACGTGTGGCACGTGAGCACAAAAACATTGTTCATCAACAACGGGTAAGTGTAGTAGAATCCTGGCCACATTCAGCTTAAGCCAAGTGTCAGACCCATTTAAGGAGCTAAATTTTATTAATGTGAAAAGCACCCATATATGTGTTTTCTGTTCTTTCTCAAACTCAACAATATAGTCAGATCTATCTATTTATCTTAAAAATTCTGTAAACCTTGTAGCAGCAACACATTAATTCACCTGTTTGCCATAAAATTGCCTAAGAAAGACTAGTGATGGTGTATTACAGTTTGTTGGGCAGGGGAAGAGGCATACATATGATAAATTAAAGTAGACTTTCATCTCTCAAGACAAGTTTTTTTGAAGACACAATGTAAATTCCATGAAAATATATTTTCAAGACTAAACTCCAAGTGCAAAGAAATTATTTTAAATATAGTAGTTTGTTTTTAGTTTGATTTTTAGTATCTATATCCTCTTTCTTTGCCTTCACGTCCAACTTCTTAAAAGAATTGTCCACGCTTACACATCCTGACCTCCCTCCTACTTTTCAGCTCATTGTGTTTAAGCTTTGCCTTGCTTTCCTTCTGATCATTCCTTTCCTTCTAAATTTATCATAAACCAGGGATGTCTGTTGCAAGATCCAAAGTGGACACTTGATCTCTCGTTTTTCTTAACCAGTCAAGTTTCATCATAACTAACAACACCCTTCTTCTTAAAACACTCTTCAGCCCTCTGTAACTCAGCATTGTTCCAGTTTTCCCTCTTCCTCTTCAGCCTGTCTAGATTCTTTCATGGGTTGCTCTTTCTCTATCCAATGGTTAAATATTTAAATTCYTTAGATTCCTGAACTAGGCTGTCTTTTTTTTTTTTTTTTAAACTCTTTACTCTCCTATGGTCCATCTCATACACTGCTATTTTTTCACTTTCAACCTAATCATAAACTAATATTTTCAACATTGGGCCTTGCTTGCTGCTGTATCCCACGTATTTTTTTTGCCTACTTTGACATCTTATTTCACTTGTCTCACAGGAGACAGTGTTTTGGGTTTTGGGGGTTTGTTGTTGTTTGCTTTTTGTGGGTTTTTCTTGTTGTTGTTATTGTTTTGGTTTTGGTTTTTTTATTATTAAACTGGGAATTGGACCCAAGAGTGCTTTACCACTGAATTGCATTCCCAAACCTTATTTTATTTTATTTATTTATTTGGTACCTGGGATTGAACCCAGGAGCACTTAATCACTGAGCCACATCCCCACCCCTCTTTTTTATATTTTATTTAGAGACAGGGTCTTGCTCAGTTGCTGAGGCCAATGTTGAACTCACCATCCTCCTTATCTTAGCCTCCTGAGCCACTGGGATTACAGGTGTGTGCCACCACACCCAGCTTTGTGTCTTATTTTGAAATAGGTCCTCACTGTGTTGCTGACTGTCTTGTTAAGTTGCTGAGACTGGCCTCAAACTTGGATCTTCCTGCCTTAGCCCCCTGAGTCACAGGATTATAGTCATCTGCCACCATACCCAGCTTAAAAAAAAATTAAAAAAGCATTTTTTTTTATTAATGTCTCAGTATTCTGGGTATTGGTAGTCTCAACTTGGCAGTTATCACTTTATAATAATCAGATAATGGCCAGTGCTGGTATCATCTCATGTGAAATAACTGGTTCTTTTTTTTTTTTTTAAGAGAAAGAGAGAGAGAATTTTTAACATTTATTTTCTTTTTAGTTTTCGGCGGACACAACATCTTTATTTGTACGTGGTGCTGAGGATCGAACTCAGCGTCGCGCACATGCCAGACGAGCGTGCTACCGCTTGAGCCCCAGCCCCAGCCCCAGCCCCCACAATAACTGGTTCTTAGGCTGGGAAGATCTAAACAGTTGGGACTAGAATGCTAGGGCTTCTTACACACTTCTGTCTCTGTGTGATCTCTCCACATGATCTCTCCAACAAGGTGGCTTCAGGTTGGCTATACTGCTTACATGGTAGCACAAAGCCCCAAAGATGTAAGTTCCAAGAGTGAAAAAATAAAACCTGTGTATTCTTCTGACCTAGCCTCAGAAACATTATTGGGATTGTTGAATCATATTTTATTGAGACAATCACAAAGGCCTGTCCATAGTTCAATGAGATAGGACATACACTCTATTTCTTGGTGGAGAAGTAACAAAGTTGGAAAAACATGCAGAATGAGAAATGTAGTAACAACTTTTTGAAAAACATAGTCTGCCACAGTATACCTTATGGTTAAAAGTTATGGTTAAAACTTCACATACCTCTGACATGCAAAATACACTCACTTCTTATCCCCCAAAGCCTTTTTTTTTTTTGCTAAAATCTGTCCACAATTAATAAAAATTATAAACCAAGAGCTAAAGCTCAGTAAACTTGAGGAAGGTAAAACACAAAGAAAATCACACCACAGTGCTTCATAGTCAGCTTTAAAATACAAAGAATGTTTAACAGTTGTCAGGTGTGGTTATATACACCTATAATCCCAACTACTCAGGAGGCTGGGGAGGAGGCAATCACAAGTTCAAGACCTGCCTGGACAACTTATTGAGACCATTTAACAAAAAAAAAAAAAAAAAGGTTGAGGATGTAGCTCTGTAGTAGTAGTCCCCAGGTTCCATCCTAGTATGAGATATTGGGATGGGGGGGTGGTGGTAATTGATTGTCTATGATGAAAAATAAAAAATGTTTCCTTCAAGATCAAGAACAAGATAAGAATGTTCACTTTCACCATGTTTACTCAACATAGGAGTTCTAGAGCAGTTATAGCAAAGTTGCAGGATGCAAAATAAAAACAAAAAAATCAGTTGCATTTCTAAATACTAACAATGAGCACTGCAAAAAGGAAATTAATACATCTCCAGTACCACAGCAACAACAAAAAAAGGAAATTAAGAAAGCAATTTCATTTCTAGTAACACCAAAAAGAAAATATCAAGAAGGTAAAAGATTTGTACACTGGGAACTACAAAAACATTGATGTTAGATTAAAGAGGGCATAAGTAAATGGAAAGACAGTTCATGTTCATTAAGTGAAGTTATTGATAAGATGACAGTAACTCCCAGAATGATGTCCAGATTCCATGTAATTCCTATAAAAATCCCATTGGGAACATATCCAGTATTCATGGAACTGAAGGCAGATATTGTTTGGGGTTTGTTTTATGGGGCCTTCTTTTGATGTGTTTGTTTTATTTTCTTTAAGGCACTTTGCCTCTGAGACACATCCACAGCCCTTTTTCTTTATTTCGAGACAGCTGAGGCTGGCTTTGAACTTATGATACTCCTGCCTCAACCTCCCAGATAGCTGCAGATATTGTTAACTGGCACTTAATACCAAAATGTTCTTCAAATTCAATGTAGTTCCCTTCAAAATCTGAACAGTGTTATTTACATGAAAAGACAAAGCCATTCTAAAATTCATATGAGATCTCAAGAGACCCCAAATAGCCAAAATAGTCATGAAAAATAATAAGATTAGAGAACTCCTACTTCGTGATTTCAAAGCTTATAAAACTACAGAGATTGAGCTAGTGCAGTTCTGGCATAAAGACACATATATAGACTTTAACTACATATGAAATCTATTTTTATTTATTTTGGAGGGATGGGTACTAGGGATTGAACTCAGGGTCACTCTGCCACTGAGCCACATCCTCAGCCCTGTTTCGTATTTTATTTAGAGGCAGGATCTCAACTGAGTTGCTTAGCACCTCACTTTTGCAGAGGCTGACTTTGAACTTGAGATCCTCCTGCCTCAGCCTCCCAAGCTGCTAGGATTATAGGCTTGCGCCACTACACCCAGTATATGAAGACTATTTTTTAAATACCAGTTTTCTCCATATATTCAATGTAATACAGGTTAAATACCCAGCATTTTTTTTAATTAACAAGCTAATTCTCAAAGATATGTGAAAATGCAAATCATCTAAGATAGCCAAAACAATTTTGAAAAAGAAGGATTAGATTGGAGGGCTTTCTCCACCTGGTTTCAAGACGTAAAACTATACTAATCAAGATGTTTTAGCATTGGTATGAGGATATACTTACAGATGAATGGAACAAAATGAAGAGTCTAAAAGTAGGCCCATGCATATATGGTCTGTTGATTTTAGACAAAGGTAAAACAAACTTGTAAAAATGATAAATATATATATAATAACATGCCTTGCACATGTGAGATACTGGGTTTGATCCTTAGCACCACATAAAAATAAATAAAATAAAGGTACTGTGTCCATCTACAACTAAAAAGAAGAAGACAAGATTGAGTTCCCTGTCTCCTTCCCAGCTATTAGCTAGAGGCTGTCTTTAGCCCCTAGAAGCTACTCTTCCTGCTCCTTGCACTTGTGCTTCCACATCTCAGAATCAGCAATGGCACACTGAATCCTTCTGCTTAGAATCTCTAATTTCCTTTCTACCCATCTCTTATCTTACTCTAGCCAGAGAAAATTCTTTGCTTGAAAGATATCACATGATTATATTGGACTCACTTAGGTAATCAAGGATGATCTCATTATTTTAAGGTTCCTAACTCTAATACTTCTGCACATTACATCATAAATACCCACAGTTTCAGACACCAGGGTATTTACATCTTCAAAGTCATGCTGCTTATTACAGTGATAAAACAAGAAAACAACATCTATCATCACCACTACTTTTCAGTGTCATATAGGATTAGTCAATGTATTAATTAAAGAAAACCAGTTAAGAGATTTAAATATTAGGAAAAGGCACATCCATCATTATTTATCAATAATATGTGTACCCAAAATACCAAGACCCAATTGTCAATGATGGTTTAGTAAAGTGAACAAATACAAGAATATATTTTTAGAAATCATTAATTCTCTGAGGTTAGGAATCTGGCTCAGTGGTAGATCATTTGCCTAGCATGAGTGAGGCCTGGGTTCAGTCTTCAAAACTGAAGGGAAAAAGGAAAACTTCAGTTTTCTCATTAATCAGAAATAATAAATTGCAAATACAGTGGAAAAAAAGTTATTCATCACAGCAGTAAAATACTGATAAGGTAAAGGAGTATAAAATTTTAATGAAACTTAGAAAATATATTTGGAGAAGCTTGACATTCTGGCTCTAAAATTTACCTGGAATTCTTTTTATAAACACACAAGAATGAGACTTACCACATACTAAATCATAAAATAATGACCACAGAAATTAACTGTGGTCTAATAAAAAAAATAGCAAATCTATTAAAGAACATATGATAATTTAGAATAATGGTCTTATCAACATACCATTTTTGGCATACACAATTGCTAAATCCATTTACTAAAGGATTTACTAACTCTTTTCCCCAAAGATTTGAAATGTCAATCAAGATGCCATTTTTCAGGTAGGAGGGAAATATAATGATGAACAGTGAATTAAAAGCTGCCAAGAAATTATTATTAGGTCTGATAATGGTATTATGGTTGTATAAAACAATTCACATTTAGAGACATTTATTATAACATGTAGGAATAAAATGACTTAATATCGATTTTTTTTCTTCAAATGCTGTAGCAAAGAACAAAAAGGATAGGTAAAGCAAATTTTAACATTTTTTTGAATCTCAGTGATTAATATATGGGATTTATCGTAATAGATGCTCTAAAACTTTCGAGTATATTTGAATTCTTTTATAATAGAAAACATGTTAGCCTGGGGGTATGGCTGAGTGATAGAACATGTATGTACTTAGCATGCATGAAGCCCTGGGTTCAATTCCATACACTACCAAAAAAAAAAAAAAAAGTTAATGGCATTTCAAATCTTTGGGGAAAAGAGTTAGTAAATCCTTTAGTAAATGGATTTAGCAATTGTGTATGTTTAGGGAAAAATACACCATTAGATTTCTTTCTTCCACTATATACAAAATAAATTTTAGAAAACTAAAGAGCTAAGTGCTAAGCGCTAAACATGACTATTAAAAAACTAGAAGAACCTAGAGTGTGTGTGTGTGTGTGTGTGTATGTATATATATATATATATATAATTTTTTTAGTTATCAGTGGGCCTTTATTTTATTCATTTATATGTGGTGCTGAGAATTGAACTCAGTCCCTCACACATGCTAGGCAAACCCTGTACCACTGAGCCACAACCTCAGCCCCATATTTTTGGTATATTACAGATACCCTTTTTTGGGGTGGGGGGGTACCAGGGGTTGAACTCAGGGGTACTCAACTACTGAGCCACATCCCTAGCCCCACACCTTTTTTTTAAATTTTATTTAGAGACAGGGTCTCACTGAGTTGCTTAGCTCCTTGCCATTGCTGAGGCTGGCTTTGAACTTGCGATCTGCCAGACTCAGCCTCCAGAGCTGCTGGGACTACAGGCATTCATCACTGCGCCCAGCCATATACCTTTTTAAACAAAACAAAACTCAGGAGCTATAAAGGAAAAGACTGATAAAATGTGACCACATAAAAATTAAAAATTTCTGCAAAACAAAAGAGCATTAAAAAAAGGAAAGGAGATAGAGTAGAAGGAAATGTTTATAACAAATAATAGAAAAAAAAGGAGTAAATATCTAGAAAGAAATATATTTTAATAATAATAAAAGGATTAAAAAGTGAATTGAAATAGAAGTACAAATTGCTAGCAACATATAAAATGATTCTCCATTAATTAGAGACCTGAAAATATGGTGAATTACATTTATGGATTTCTGGATGTTGAGCCAGTGTTCCTGGGATGAAACCCACTTGATCATGGTGCACTCTTTTAAATAAGTTTCTATGTGATTTGCCAGTATTTTACTAAGAATTTTTGCATCTATGTTGATCAGGGATATTGGCCTGAAGTTTTCTTTCCTTGGTGTATCTTTGTCTGGTCATAGGTTGATTTTAGAAGGATTCCCTCCTTTTCTATTTTATAGAATAGTTTGAAGTGAATTCGTGTTCTTCTTTGAAGGAAGGTCTGGTAGAACTCAGCTGAGAATCCTTCAAGTCCTGGGCTTTTCTTTGTTGGTAGGCTTTTCATGGCATCTTCAGTTTCATCGCTTGAAATTTACCTGTTTAAATTTTGTATGTCTTCCTGATTCAATTTGGGTAGGTCATATTTCTCTAGAAATTTTTTGATGTCTTCAAGATTTTCTGTTTAATTGGAGTATAAGTTTTTAAAATAGTTTCTGATCATCTTCTGTATTTCAGTGGTGTCTGTGGTGATATATCCTTTTTCATCATGAATTTAAGAAATTTGAGTTTTTTCCCTTTTTCTCTTGGTTAGCATGGCTAAAGTTTTCTCAATTTTATTGATTTTTTTTTTTTTGGAAGAACTAACTCAACAGTGAGATCATTTTTTAAAAAATTCGTTGGCATAATTTTAAAGATTGGCAAAATTCAGTGTGGGTAAGATACAAGGAAGAGTAGGTACAACTTTGTGTAGATAATCTGGTAATGTCTATTAAAATTAAAATGTTCAATTTCTGCTTTTATATTTTTATCTTAAATATTCCTATATGTGTTCAAAAAGTCATTGACTTGTACAAAAAGTCATTGTACATTTGTACAGAACCACGTATAATGTTGAGAAATTTGAAAATTCAAAAGGCAAATAGAGTAAGAATAAATGAAACATGGTACAGTTAAATTCTTGGATCTATAGATTAATTAAAGAGAATGAGGTCAGTCTATTTATACAGACATGAAAAGCTTTCTTAGAAACATTGAGAAGATAGTATATCTAATTTTATTTTTTTAAACAAAATTTTCTGTTTGTTTTATATATATAGAAATGCTCAAAAGTGGTTTGGAAAAAATAAAAATTAATTGATGGTATGACAGTTTTACCCCATAATAGATTATACAGTGTAATAAAAAACTTTTGCCATTTTGCATTAATTTTGCATTAATTGTTTTGTAACAGTATTTTAAAAACTAAAGGTATGCATGTCAAAACTTGTACAATCCAAGTAAGATCTGTAGATTGAGCCAATGTCAATTTCTATATTCTATTGCAGTAGCTCTACTTATCTGCAGTTCACTATCCATGGTTTCAGTTACCTGAAGTCAACCACAGCCCAGAAATGCTAAATGTAAAAGTTCAGAAATAAACATTTTAGATGTTTTAAATTGCACACCATTCTGAATAACATATGGAAGTCTCATTCTTTCCCACCCAAGACCCAAAACACTTTAACCATAATTTTTACACTACGTACCCTATCCACCTGTTACTTACTGAGTAGCCAGTTAGATTATCAAATCCACTGTTATAATATCAGAGTGTTTTGTTTAACCTTTTATTTTACTTAATAACAACAGAATACAAGACTAGCGATGCAAAGATGGCACCATGACATAAAACAGATTAATTCTTCCACCGAGAAGCATTGTTGCAGGGCTTATAGAAAAATACATAGTAATTTTAGAATTCAGTATTACCAGCATTTTTAGCATCCATTGAGGGTCTTGGAAAGAATCTCCTGAGGATAAAGGGAAACTACTAATGTAAAGTTATATAAATTTTTACCACTGAGGGAAGTTGGATGAAGGGAGTGTGTACTAGTTTTGCAACTTACAGAGTCTATAATCCAGATTTTTTAAATTAAATAAATGAATGAAACAAAATTACAAGTTAAAGAAAGGATAATAATTTGTTAAAAAAAAGGGATCATGGTTTTAGTTACTAAAATCTTTCAAATAATCACTCAAGGAACAAAGATGAGAAGGAGGATTATTTTTATTTTCTGTACCTGTTTTCTCTTTAGGTTCTAAATGAACTTGAATGCCATGGAGTTGCCGTATCAGAACAAAGCCGAGCAGAACTGGAACAGAAAATAGATGAAGCTAGAGAAAATATTCGTAAAGCAGAGGTAAGGGGGCAGCTAACTATGGCATTTTGCCCAACTCCAGTCAGTGTCACAGCTGTGATGTACACCTTTGAAGCTGAGTTCCTACACTTATTAAGTTGAAGGGGAATCACCATCTTAATTTATGTCCACAGTAGTATTATTGAGTGCCTGCTTTGTAGAAAGTATACATATAGCAGACTTTGAACCTGCTGTGAAGAGTTCATAATCGTGAAAATCACATAACAAAAGAATTAAGTCACAATAAAGATATTAAAGTTTCACAAAGTAAAATGATAATCAAGTTAATGGTAGAGATATTTATGTTTATATATAAAATGATAATTTATATATTATAGCATATATAATAACATTTATATAATTTATATATATTATATAATTATACATAGTAATATATTTATATAAAATTATATATGTATATATTTAGAACCTAAAAAATCTCCCTTATGGGCTGGGGATGTGGCTCAAGAGGTAGCGCGCTTGCCTGGCATGCGTGCAGCCCGGATTCGATCCTCAGCACCACATACAAATAAAGATGTTGTGTCTGCCGAAAACTAAAAAGAAATAAATATTAAAAAAAAAAAAAAATCTCCCTTATATGGGTGGTTTCTGAATCCAGGGGAATGAACTGGGTCTTCAGTAATAGAGATTTGGTTGAGAAGCGATAGGGCATTATAAAAGTAATATTTTTTTTTGAGTCATGAGATCTTTTGAAAGTTGCATAAAAACTATGGAACCTCTCCCACAAAAAATAAATGTATATGTTGTGTACAGCATCAGAGTTCATCAACCCCAGGCTAATACTACTTGCCCTAGAGGAGGAGAGGTCAAAATGAGAGAACAAGAAAGTATTAGCAAAAGGGGGTAGGCACAGGGTAGAGTTTGGCAGTTGAAAGTGATTAGAATAACAGATTTTTGTAAGGAAATGTGATAGAAAGTAAGTAAACTATTGTGGTTAGGGCCAGTTCACAGAGGACACACATGTGTATTCATCTACTCTGCTACAGCATGATGAAGGGATATGGAGGTAAACATTAAAAAAAAAAAAAAAAGACCAAGAATTTACAAGCCTCAAGAGATTATGTTCTTATTAGGAAAGCCTAAAGAATGCCAAAGATAACCAAGACTGTGAAGCACAAGTGCCAAAGAGTGGCCATACAAGTATGCTTCAGGAAGTGGAGGACACGGGGAGCACTGGGGGAGGGGTTGTCAGAGCAGAGGTAGGACTTAGGATGGTGTTGGCCAGTGAATAGTATTTAATTTAATTAGTCAGGGAAAAGGGAATAACATAGATCTGTGGCTTGCAACCTCAAGAAACAGAACTTGAACCAAAATATGAAGGTAGGAAGGAGGCAGGTTTCAGTTTGATGTTGGGAAATATTTTCTAAGAGTCAGATCTTCTGAGTGGCAGAATAAGTACATAATGCAACACTGTAAGGGCTCAGGATTCTGGGCAAGCATCTGTCAGGGACTCTGTACAAGGAATTCTGGCATTGGTTGAAGGTAATCTAAACTAGTGATTTTCAAACACCCCTTTATTGCTCTAGAGGTTTTGAAAAAGTGCTTCAGTGGTTGTAGGGTAAGGGTGAGGCAACAGAGGCAAACACAGGGTATATGAGCGTCGTTTTGACAGAGCCCCATGGAAGTGATTTGAACCAGAATGGGTTTGCCATCTTCGTGGTCTAAAGAAGCTCCGGTAACCTCTCTTCTGCTTCATTCCTGGCATAGTCTGACCCACAGCCTCCATAGTGAGAAGGGCAGGGTGTGCAGTGAGCAGCCATTTTCCTCTCTGAATTCAGAGTCACGGTTAAACCACTACCCTCTGGTGCTGGCCAAGTACTGCTGGTGGGCCCTAGCTTGGTTTGGGAAACACTGGCTTGTGGTAGAAGAGATTATTATTCTATTGTTTTGTTTCTCTTCACTCTGGATGAAGCCAGTATTACCGCCTTAGTGGAACAGAAGTGATTACCTTAGGACAAGTCTCAGAAGTTTTCTGAGGGGGTTGTACTTATATTTTCCATTTCCAGACTCCATCCATGGTATCACTATCTAGTATCTTTTTTTTTTTAAGAGAGAGAGAGAGAGGAGAGAGAATTTTAATATTTATTTTTCAGTTTTTGATGGACACAACATCGTTGTTTGTATGTGGTGCTGAGGATCGAACCCGGGCCGCATGCATGCCAGGCAAGCGCGCTACCGCTTGAGCCACATCCCCAGCCCCCTTTTTACTTTTTGAGACAAGGTGAGACAGGTTAAGTAGCCCTCGATTCAATTCCCAGCTACACCCCCCCCCCACACACACACACACGTTATATATACCCATGTGAATATGTGTGTGTGTATACCCATATATGTATCTCCCGAAAGCAACTGTTTTCCATCACCTCCACAGACACCATCTTTATCTAATCCAGTGTTATTTTCCACCTGGATTATTACAATCTATTCTTAATGATTTCCCTGCTTCTACCCTCATTTCCCTACCACCTCTAACTATTTACACAGAAACTAGTCTGATTTTTTTAAAAATACTTTTTTAGTTGTCAATGGACTTTACTTATTTACATGCAGTGCTGAGAATTGAACCCAGTGTCTCATACAGGCTAGGCAAGGGTCTACCATTGAGCCACAACCCCAGCCCTTTTTTTGTCATTTTTGGTGCCAGGGATTGAACCCACAGCCTTGCACATGCTAAACATGCATTCTACCAGTAAGCTTAATTCGATTCATCTTAGCCCTGATTGTTTTAAAAGGTCCCAATGTGTTTGTTACAATTCTGTTTAAACCCCTTTACTCACTTCTCATCTCATTCTAGTAAAATCCAAAGTTCTTTGCATGGAATTCACAGTGCCACACACATTGGTATCTTTGATCTCATCTCCTGACACACTTGTCATTCAGTTCCAGTCATGGAGTTCTTCACATTCCTGGTGTATTCCAACTACTTTATCTAATTAGCATTCTATCCCACCATCACTCTCTAGCAACCTACCAGGCTCTATTTTTCTAAGTAGCACCTATCATTACCTGACATTTATTTTTTGTCTTATCCCATTAGAATACAAATCCCATGACAGCAAGGGTGTTGTGTGTTTTGCTCACTGTTTTTCCCCAGCCTGTGGAACAGTGTACTTGCATGCAACAATACCATTTCAAAGCATGAAATTCAAGGAATTTTTCACTCCACTAAACAAAAATATATTCTGGTTGCTCCAAATCACAATCTTAAAATAACAAAAATACTTTTAGAATGAAGCTAGATTCCATAGCACCCATCAGGAATTTCAGCTACAGGAAATGATGAATTACAGTGCTCAGACATACAGGCCTGATAGATGCATCAGAATCACAAGCACGTGACAGAGGTCATGTGTGTAATTATGTGAATATTCTTGTTACATGTTCACTAGTTCATAAACAGATGGTGACCCAGACCAGACTTCCTTGATGACTCTGCTTGGTAAAAAGGTATTACATCACTGATTGGAGAACCTCAAGGATATGCCTAGGCAGGTACTCACATGCTGAGTCCAGATGTGATTGGTAAGTCACTCCCACTGCAAGACAGGCAACTTGTCTCATGACCAGTTCTCAGAGGAATTCTCCAAGTCTAAGGATGAACATTCTTTGCCTCTGTCAGTTAAGGATAAAGGCTTTCTGTGATCAGTGATGTTACACCACTCAAATGCATATTTGTCAATGAATTCCACTACTATGTATAAAGCACCAATACAAATTAATTAAAAATGCGTATTTGCTATATCTTTCCTAGATGTTTATTCAAATTCTTACTCATGAATTAAGGAAAGAAATGGGATTTGTTTAAATCAATGTCTAGGTCCAGGGCAATCTATTATGCACTCTCCAATAATGGACCGCGGGTGGTCATCAGTAGCCCTCCACACACAGTGCCCACGAACTAGTCTCCTCCAAATATTAAGCCCCCGACCTGTCACCAATCCAAAAAATATTCCCCAAACATTTCCCTTGTCATCGACAGTCACTAGAAACCTCTTCTGTCATTAATAACCCCAATACGCAGTCACCAAAGCCACTTCTTCCCAAAATACCCCTTTCTATAAGTGCCCTATATTAGTCTCATCCTTTCCGGAACCCCACGGCCCCGACACCACACTCCTGTCCACTCCTAGCCGGCGTCCACAACATCACTCACGCACGCACCCGGTAGCCACCGTCCACATTTCACCTTCCCCACCCTCCCCCAGCTCCTCGGCCCCGCCCCTTGAGAGGGCCCCGCCCCCAGGTGAGGCGCCCTATCGAATGGCGCCGGAAGCCCCGCCCCGACCGGTTGCTAGGCTCTGGCAGCAGGAAGTCCCGCCTGTCGTGTAGTCGCCGCCTGCGCCGCCGCCGTCGTTGTTGTTGTGGTCGGTTCGCTCAACTCCGCGGCTCCGAGAGCCGGGTTCGTCCCCTCCCCGCCGCCGCCATGAAGTGGATGTTCAAGGAGGACCACTCGCTGGGTAAGCAGTCGGCCGCCTGCCCAGCGGCAGGGGACCGGAGCGGCGGGGGAGCCCCCTCCCCCACCGAGCCGCTCTGGGCCAGGGCGGGCGGGGCAGATGCCGCGCTCCGGGCTCGGGTCGCCAAGGCCCTGCCACCTCCCCATCCCCGGGCCCTTCACTGACCGGTTGCCACCTCCGCGGGTTCTTCCGGGAACTAGGGGACGAAGGACTGCGGCTGTGGGGACGCCACATCAGGGCCCGGGGTGCACGGGTCGCTGRGGGGGAAGGGCGGAGGAGGGTCAGCGGCCGGGGAACCGAGGACCTGCCGGGGGGCAGGCGCCACGTCAGCTCGGTGTGTTTCTCTCCCAGAACATAGATGCGTGGAATCCGCGAAGATCCGAGCGAAGTATCCTGACCGGGTTCCAGTGAGTGTTTGGACCCTCGCCTCCTCACCCCACTGTCACCTGTGTCGTCGAGGAGCCGTGATAGGGCCTTAGGCCATTCAACAGTTGACAAGTTGGGGTTCCAGTCCCTGTAGCAGATGGGCCAGTCTGGGTCGGGGCGGCGGCGGCCAGGGAGTAAGGGGCTAGGGCTGGTGCTGTTCAGGTGCCTCAGTGCTGAATCTCCCGATCTAGGCCAGTGAGCTGTCTGCAGTCTCTGGGCTCCCTCGCCAATTATGTAAGGAACGATGTTCTAGGACAGGGCAACAGGTCACTGCCACTTTGGGAATGGTGGTGGAGTCTGTCACTTTAGTCTTGGAAGTACTACTTTAGTCCCAGGACCTTCAGCTTTAACTTTGAACCTCCATCTTTACTAGCTTCTTTTCTTCACCCTGACCCTGTCATCATGCCTGACCCCCCCMMAAAAAAATCTGAATTTTTTTTCCCTTTAATCAATAATACAAATGATCTGATATTTCATGGGGCGGGGGGATAGTTTCTATCATCCTTATTGATTTTTCAAGGGACATCGTGGTCTGTTATTATAGCTCTTTGCTTGTAACTGATTCCTTTGCGGGAGGGAGCTGGAGGGGCAAATTCAAAACCTGTTCAGAGAGAAGTAACAGCCCAGCCCATATGAACAGCTTTATTCTTGACTGGCTGGGATTGCCAAGCATGTTCTAAGTCCATTCATTCTTGTTTCCTGTGTTCCTTGGGATCTTACTTCTCCAGAAGTGTGGGTCCATTCTGGGGTACTAGAGTAAGAGGCCATTGGAGAAACCCTCACCAGATTGTCTTGTGTCTGCCTGGATAAAATGTTGAAAAGCTTAGTAGCTGTATTTCTCTTTCAAATGCTGAGATCAGGGGTGAGAGAGATAATTGACCACAGAAAAGCACTTAGGTTTTCCCTATAACACAGTTATATTGGTTCTTAGCCTCCAGAGTGTGGCTTATTAAGTCATGGGCATATTTTCTCATGCTATGCAGTTTCCCACCCACATCCCTGCCCACACTGTTCATCACCTCCCTGACAGTGTAAGGCCAGAGCCTCATTTAGGAAATCCAGTCTTGACCTCTTCTTACTTTTCCAGGTGATTGTGGAAAAAGTCTCTGGCTCTCAGATTGTTGATATTGACAAACGGAAGTACTTGGTTCCATCTGACATCACTGTGGCCCAGTTCATGTGGATCATCAGGAAAAGGATCCAGCTTCCTTCTGAAAAGGCAATCTTCTTGTTTGTGGATAAGACAGTCCCACAGTCCAGGTGAGAGATGTTTACTAGATGAGCCCTCTGGTATTAGACATCTCTTTGGCTGCTTATTGAACTCAACACTTTGGAGGTCTGGAAACTCTAGGGGTCCTGACCCTGCAAATGTGGAGCCACAACCATAGCTCCAGGAAAATAATAAAGGGCTGAAATACTTTTGAGTGAACTTTGGCTCAAGAAAATAAGACAAGGTTGGACTTTAAAAGAAAATGTTCTAGCTTCAGATCCCCTTACTCAGGTTTAAGCCATAGATAGAATTTAGGCCTGAAATGAGATTTTCTGCTAATGGTTCCTGAAATCAGCACTGTTGCTCTCCACTGGAAGCTTATGGGCCCTCCTGAGGCTCAGCTTCAGTTAATAATCTTGCTTGCTACAAATGTCTGCTCTTTGCCATTGTGAGTCAGTATCTGCCTGATCCTTAAGTCTGATAAAATGGCTGCTGTCCAGTTAAGGGCTTTGAAGTCCCTTCACAGACCTACACTACCTTTGTCAGCTTAATTGTTGTGCTGCCTGTTGACACCTGAATCTAGACAGGAGCACTGTAATTTCTCTCTTCAGTGTAGTTGACAATTCAGCTTTAGTTCCCTGTAAAAAATGGACAGGCTCAGTTTGAATCTTTGGTCAGTCCTTTCCTAGTACTAAAGGTGAAAAACTGGCTATTCTTTGGTCTGATTGCTTTCACAGTCTCTACCACCTCCACTTCCTGTTGTGTGTTAGCAAGGCGGGGCAGGAAAGAAATGAAAGGCACTGCTCTTTGAGTGCCTTGGTCTGCTATTGCTGTAGCTCTGGAAGCTATGGTGGTGTTTCTAGTAGTGATCTTGTCACTGTTGGGATCTTGTACCCTCCCTTTATAGGCCTCTGAGCAGTGTGTTAGCAGGGGAGGAGACCTTAGGCCCCTGAGGTCACTCTCAGCTTCCCTTAAGGTGGTGGAGGAGGAAAATCTTATTTCATACCACCTGGAACTTTACAGAGCTTTGGCGATCCTATTTTCCTTCTTCCTGGAGGTGGTGGTAGCTCAGTGGGAGGAAGTAGATGACTAGGATCTATGGCATTGAGTTTATTTTTCTCCATGCTGATCTTCTGATACTCCTTGAGGAAATGAAGCAGGCTTTTGGAAACATTATTTCTCTGATGGTGCCATGGTAATCTAGCAATTAAAATGGCTGTAGATTTTATGAGCTACCCCTTTTTTATTATCCCTGAGATATAAATGGAATTGGAAATGAAAAGTGATTCTCAGGTCAGGAGAGGTTGCTTCAGGGCCATTTTCTCTCCAAGCCCCATTTGCCTTTTCAGTCTGGGAGAATCCTTCCTAAAGTAGATTACATGTGACCCAAATCTGGATTTTTATTTGCAGTACTGAGGATTGAACCCTTGAACCTAGAATGCTCTACCACTATACCCCGAGTCCTTATTGTTTTTATTTTTCAAATTTTGAGACATATGGGGCTGGAGATATAGTTCAGTTGGTTGAGTGCCTGACTCCCATGCACAAGGCCCTGGGTTCAATCCCCAGCACCACAAAAAAAAAAAAAAAATTGAAACGTAGTCTCACTAAGTTGCTAAGGCTGGCCTCAAACTTGCCTCAGATTACTGAGTTGCTTGGACTATAGGCATGCCCATCATGCCTAGCAACAAAGAGGAATTTTAGAACTCAAATCCTCACTCTTTAGGATGTAGAGAAAGAACATCAGCTGGGGCCCCTCTACCCAGGTCCATAGCACTTTTGGGTACAGTTAATGATATCTTGCCCCACAATTTATGTAACCATTCTTTGTTCATCTTGGAGTTTTATTCTTTTTTTTTCTTTTTTGTATTGGGGATTGAACCTAGGGATGCTTAATTACTCAGCCACATCCCCAGCCCTTTTATTTATTTTTTATTTTGAAACCAGGTCTTGCTAAGTTGCTTAGGGTCTTGCTAAATTGCTTAGGCTGGCCTTGAATTTGGATCCTACTGCCTCAGTCTCACAGTCTGGAATTATAGACCCAGCTTATCTTGGAGTTTTATTCTTTTTTTTTTTTTTTGTAGATGGATGGCATCGTTTTTTAATTTATTTTTTTAATGTGTTGCTGAGGATTGAACCCAGTGCCTCACACACATGCTAGGCAAGCGCTCTGCCACTGAGCTACAGCCTCAGCCCTGGAGTTTTACTCTTAAAACCAAATTTGTTTATAAACAAAAAAGGCATGTGACACCATCAGGCTTTATGCAAATGTAATCACCTATAGCAACACAAATGAAAGTGCTATGGGGTCTCCTTAAAGCTGATGTGTGACTCAGCTTCACCATCTTCTCCCCAGAGCAATTGAACAGCCTCCTCTTTAGCTCTTTTCCAGCCTCCTTGGGGAAGCCTGGAGTCTCCTTTAACCTTCACCCAGTGCTTGCAGCCTGCAGAGAGTAGCTGGGGAAATCAGAACATACAGAGGATGCATCAGGCCTGCAGGAGCTCTTCTCGAATAATTGACAGGTCTGCACAGGAATCACTTATGCCTGAGGCTGAAGAAGTAACTTCAGTTATTTTTGCCTTGAGGTTTCATTATAGTTTAGAATAATTAGAGTTAAATAGAGACGGGTTTATCCCTAGGAGTTTTACTTCCTTAATTCTTTCTGAATTCTTTTTTTTTTTTTTTTTTTTTTAACAAATGGGAGAATCTCACTTTCCTTTTTCACTTAGCAGTGGAAAGCTGAATTTTCAGTTTAGGTACCTGTATCAGGAATCAGGGCAAAAACAGAAAGGGAACTAACTTGCTGCAGAGAGAACTGACAAAGAACATAAATTTCCCAGCCATGGCCTTAGTGGGGAACCCAGATCTGGCAATGGTCTTGTATCTTTAGAGCACAGACAGGAATCATCTTCTTTTTTTGGTGGGGGAAGAGAGTGCCAGGGATTGGACTTGGGAACACTCAACATCTCCAGCCCTATTTTTTGTATTTTATTTAGAGACAGGGTCTCACTGAGTTGCTTAGCACCTTGCCATTGCTGAGGCTGGCTTTGAACTCGGTCCTCCTGCCTCAGCCTCCCTAGCCTCTGGGATTATAGGCATGCACCACCATGGCAGCTAGGAATCTTAATTCCCTGTTTAAAAATAGAAACAAAAGTCTGTTATTAAATATCTAAAATATTATAATTCGACATCACGAAACTGGTACTGTTAAAGATGATGGTGTCTTATGGTGCATCCTTTATTTAGAAATGAGCTTAAATTAGTAATTTTGGGGCTGGGGATAAAGTTCAGTTGGTAGAGTGCTTGCCTTGCATGAACAAGGCCCTTGGTTCAATCCCCAGCACACACACACACAAAAATTTAGCAATCTTGATCATTTCTGGGTAAATACCACAGGGTTTATTTCAGCAATGGAACAAGGTCTGTTCATTTCAGAGAAAAATCTGATAAACAGGTATAACCTGAATTTCTTTATATTTTAGAATCTTTGGGATCTTTCAGAATGAATATATACATAGACATCCACATGTATATACAATCTATACGCATATACATATGTAAATAATTAAAAAAAAAAACTTTCTAGTATTGAGGATTGAACCCAGAAATATTTTTACCAATGAACTACATCTCCAGTCCTTTTTTTGGTGGGGGGGTAGGAGAGAATCAGGGATGCTTAACCACTGAACCACATCTCCAACCCCTTCTTATTTTTTATTTTGAGACAGAGTCTCACTAAGTTGCTTAGGGACTCACTAAGTTCCTGAGGCTGGCTTTAGACTTGGAATCCTTCTGTCTCAGCCTCCTGAGTTGCTGGGATTATAGACATGTGCCACCATGCTTGGCCTTTTTTTTTTTTTTTTTTTAAATGTTTTATTTTGAGACAGGATCTCCCTAAGTTACCTAGACAGGTCTTGAACTTGCCATCCTCCAGCCTCAGTCTCCTTTAGTTGGGATTACAGGTGTGTGTCACCATTCCTGGCTCTTCAGGGCCATATGAACTTTTCCTTTTCAGCCATTACGTTTCCAATTTCCATAGTAGTGGTTACTGTCCTCTGTCTTTACCCCACCTATCCTCCTGCTGAGAAATAAGTCCAGGTCCAGTGAAAGGACATGGGTTCCTCAGCAGATGGCTGGCCAGTGTGTTTCTCAGTCCAGCCAGTTTATGAGTCAGCCTGAATCGCAGCCTCTGTGACCTGCCCTTGATCTGGAGCTGACAGCAGGTTTCACATGGATTCAGCACTCATAGTTGTAGATCAGCCTCCCTCAATTCATGGGGCTGTTGAGTAGCATAAAACTAATGTTTGAGGCTGGGGATGTTGCTCGGTGGTAGGGCGCTTGCCTAGTGTGCATGAGTCCCCAAGTTCAATCCCCAGCACTGTAAAACAAAACAAAAATTAATGTTTACCTTCAGGAGCATGGCCATTTCTGGATGTGGATCTTGCTGAAACTTGCCCTTTTTTGTTGGTTAATTCCTCCAGTGCAGAAGTAGTTTTGCCTGGGTCTGTGTGATCCTGAATAAAGGAGTGGGGAACAAAGTTTTAGGAAAAAATTTAGGTTCATCTCACTCAGTACTTCAGGGTCCTACCTCACCTTAGATTGGCTGCATGTCTTCCATTTGTCATTATCTTTTCTTGTTTCTTTCCTCATCAGACTTAGAAGGTGGCAGTGCCCCTGACATCCAGGCAGCATCCTTCTCAGATGTGTGTATGAAGTACTTGATGACACAGCATTAGGCATGCATACGGGGGACTGGAGGTTACCTTTGGGTGTCTTCTAAGCCACCTCCCACTAACTTGAGCAGGAAGCCTTGGCGTTGCAGTGCTGCTTGTGAGATGTTCCACCACCTAGCTGGCCTGGGTAGCGTAGCTGGGCAGAAGCATTAGAGTTGCCTCTATGCTTCAGGGTTCTCGGCCATTCCAAGCAATTCAGTGCTTGTGGCTCAGGCCTCTGGATTTTGAGAGGGGAGCTCATTCCCTGAGAGGCTTATGGAATGTGTTCTAAACCAACATTCCAGCCTTCTGCTATACAGACTACCTGCTGAGTAAGGTTACATTTTGCCCCCCCTGTACTTCCACTTGAATATACTTTTAATGGGTCTTTAAACAAATTTTTTTTTTTTTAACTCTGTTTGTGGTCCAGCTCTTTTTGGCTCCTGCCAAGTTATTCTGACATTGCATGARTGTAGTCCAGTCCCGAAACGGCTATTTTCAAGTCATTTGACCATACCAAAGTGCCATGGCAGCCACTGAAGCCTCAAAATCAGGAAGTTGTGTAACATTGAGCACTGTCTGGTTGTCAAGTTCCTTGCCCTACTATAAGGACACACTACTTTGCTGTCAACTATATAGAACTTCCACATGATTCTTTGTGGGAAAAGAACAGGGTTGGACTGTACATTAGGCACAACCATTAGCTGTCACATTACAACATCAGAAAAGACATAAGTCTTTCCTTCTTAGAGGGAGCACAAGTTGATGAAGAATGTTTCCTAGTTTTGTGACATAGGGTGCATTATTTGACCTCTCTGTGCCTTAGTTTTCTTATCTTTGAACTGTGAATTGTGATAGCACTTGCTTTATAGGATTGTTATGGGGATCGAAGGACTTAACCTGTGTTATGTATTTGGAACAGTGTTTGGCCCATGCTTGTTGTTAGAGCTAGGATTTTTATCAGCCTCTGTTGTTGCTTGGGCATTGCTTAAACTGACAAACCCAAATTTTACTTAAAAGACAATGGAATCTCAAAGCAGAAAGAAGCAAAAGCCACATTTTTTATGGGCCTCTACCCTGCCAAAAGTCAGGGCTGAGTGTCAGAACCTGCGTTAGTAGTGGTTCTGTAGTCATTGCTCACTGTGCGCACCATAGAGAGTCTGGGGTAGGCTGCTGGTATGTATGAAGTTCTGTGAGTATTTCTTATTTAGTAGTGGATTTAGAGTCATTGCACTAGGGCTTCTAACTTGCTAGGGAAAGAGCAGAACGTGGTCTCCCAAATGGAACCCAACTAAGTGCCAGGGAACGGTTGTCTTTGTATTGCAGTGTCTGCTCACTGTGTTAACACATTTGGTGGTGGCAATGGTGAGGTGTTACCACAGGTCTCATTTGTGGCACCCTGAACACTGACCATGTGGGGTAAAGAGAGTTGTGGGAGTTGTGGCACTAGCTTTAATTGTTTTCTTAGTAGTCTCATCCTGAAGAGTCTCAAATAAAACTGGGTTTTCTCTCCAGGCATTCTGTCACTGGGTAAAAATCTGGGGAGGCTCAGTTGCATGTTCAAGCTCTTCTGCTGGTTGCTGGCTTTGTACTCACTTCCTGATTTCCTACTCCCTGGTAATGTGAGCTCTTAAAGATGAGCATCTCCCCGCACCCACAAAAGAATGTTTCTTTATTCTCAACTTGACTGCATAAGGATTCATCTTAGGCATTTAAAAATGTGCTAATGCCTGGGTACCTCCTCCAGAGATTCTTAGTTGCCTGGGGTGGGGCTTGGGCAGGGAGATCTTTGTAAAGTTCCCCAGTGATTCTGATGTGCAGTCAAGGTGGAGACTGAGCACTGTAGGTGTTCTCATGAGCTGGATTCCTTCCTCTACCTACCTATGCCCGAGTCCTCACATGTTTTAGGGCATGCAGACCTCATATGTGATTTGGAAATTTTCTAGTAGCTACAGTAAAGTAGAAACAGGTGAAATTAATTTTAATAGTTTGACCCTAAATATCTAAAATTTTATCCTTTCAACATTTAATCAAAATGGAGATTATTTCACTTTCATACTAAGTCTTTGAAATCTTGTGTTTTACACTTATAGTACATCCTAGTTCAGACAAGCCACATTTCAATTGCTGAATGTAGTCAGAGGCTGCTGTATAGGACAGCATCGATACAGGACATTTTTGTCACAGCAGACATTTTTATTAAACAGAGCTGTTCCAGGGAGTTCTTATTTTACAAATTCCAGGTCAAGAAATCCTAACAGGGTCACTGTTCTTATTTTATGGGATGCTGGCAGCAGGCCATTGCATATTCATAGCTGTCTACCCCGAATCCTTAATAATCTTCCCACACAGCTGTCCCAAGCTTGAAAATGGTGCAGGAAGAATAGAAAAGGAGAAAACAAAATCCCCTTTTATAGATGCGCCTGTGTCTGTTTACATGTGGGTCCCAGTCAGCCCACTAGCAGCAAAGCAGCAGGGGGTGGGGCTGCCATCGCTTTACCAGGTTGAGGCCTGGGACCCCTCTCTAATCAGGCTGCCCCCACACCTGGTTTACATGTTGAGACTTGTCAAGGCTGTTAACCTCAAATGTCTGAGGTGAGCTTTCAGACAAGCATCTTACTGCTGCTTCTAGTTACAGCATCGTTCTTGGTCACTCTCAAGTTTAGCACGCATATGCCTCCTGCTGTCTTAGGTAGTAGACACTCGGTCAAAACTTGCATGGTGGGCTGGGGATGGGGCTCAAGCGGTAGCGCGCTCGCCTGGCATGCGTGCGGCCTGGGTTCGATCCTCAGCACCACATACCAACAAAGATGTTGTGTCTGCCAAGAACTAAGGAAAAAATAAATAAACGTTAAAATAAAAAAAAAAAAAAACTTGCATGGTGTCGTGGGTGTTACTAATCTCACTCTGGAGTTGGGAAAACTCAGTTTCATTGCAGAACTAGATTAGATTTCCACTGCAGTCTGTTTTATGGTCTAGGGAAAGCCAGCTTCCCGCCCACACTTTTAGTTTAAGGAAACTCTTTATTTTGGGAGGGTTCTTTGGAGCTTGGGCAGGCAGGCCTCTTTGGATCCCAGATACAATGTGAGCTTTTTGCCTTATGTGTGAGGGGAGAAACTTCTCTTAGATGATGTTGACGCAGAGGTTTTGGGGACACAGAGGCTTTGGCTAGGGAAGCTCCTACCTGTACCTACCATATTAAGACCAAGTTATAAATCTTCAAATAAACCAGCCTGGAGAAAAGAGCCCAATATACTCTTTCTTACCAGGGTCCTTTACCCACGCAGGAATGGTCTTTAGGCTCTTCATTTTGCTTAGTTTCCCCCACTCCTTGCCCTTGGCATTTAAAAAGACTTCAGGTGCTAACCAGCCTGAGCTCATTCAAGGAGCTGGCTTTTTAAAAGGATTTACTTACATGGTTCTGCTTCTGGACTGGAGGATGGAGAATTTAATTCTGGTTTTATCTACTGATTCCTAATTTGTTTTAATCTTTTCATGGCTCCGTTTCCCTTCCATAAAACAGATTGCAGGTCACAGCAGATACTGATTCCTGAATTATTTTTTACTATATGTCCCTACAGATCAAGCTCCTTATCTTTGGGTTTTGCTCTCCTGACACCCAGACTCAATTTTCAATTATGTTTTTTATTTTTCTCTCAAGCCTAACTATGGTACAGCTTTACGAGAAGGAAAAAGATGAAGATGGATTCTTGTATGTGGCCTACAGCGGAGAGAACACTTTTGGCTTCCAAGGGCCAGTGCTGGGCTAGGCTCATCGTTCCTGCTTGTGGATCTTGTAAATAGCCGGCCATTTTCAGTTGTTCCAGAACCTCTTCACATAGAACTATTAGTGCATTTGTAACTGGATTTATTTCTTAATATATTGGAAAGTTTTGTTTCCCTAGACTAGTAAATTATCATACAGAGTTTTATTTTGAGTTTTTCTTTTTGTGCACTGTCCTCATGGCTATATTCTCCAGAGAACTTGTTCCTCTGGGAATCATATTTAATGAAGATATTTCCATAATGAAGTGAGGTAGGTGTGGTATTAAAAGTGAAAGGGAAATAAATGATGCATTTAATCTGGATTATGTTTGAAGTGTTAGATGGCTAAGTATTAAAAGCATCCAAATTAAATCCTTAGCAATCAGAACACTTGCTTCACTAGATTCTGCCAACTGCCAATCATGTTGGACTGAGCTAATCTGTTCCTCTTTCTGAAACTATTAAGKTAAATAATTAACAATAAAATTTCCTCTTATAAAGGCATTTCAGTGTGACCATGTTCTTTATTCACCTTCATTTGARTGGGTCAGAGAAATGGTGCCTACTTTTGCCAGGCTGGGAGAAGGGCTTATGGAGGCCATAGCAGCCCAGTCTGGAACTGGAAGCAGTGTTTGGTATCAAAAGGGGACTTTTTTTTAAAGAATAGTTAATGTATTCACATGGTGCAGGTACCAGGGCTACATGAAAAGATAGGAATACGTTGCAAAGTCTTATTTCCCCCACTGTTTTCTGACTTCTGCCCCTTATGGGAAACTAGTTTTACTGGCTTTTTTACTGGCATATTTCTTTTTATTATTTTTTTAGTAGTATACTTAAGTATGAATATTTGTCCTTATTTTCTTACATTATAAATATATAGATATTGCTTTTTTTTTTATAAAGAGAGAGAGAGGGGGACAGAGAGAGAGAGAATTTTAACATTTATTTATCTTTTCTTAGTTCTCGGYGGACACAACATCTTCGTTTGTATGTGGTGCTGAGGATCGAACCTGGGCTGCACACACGCTAGGCGAGCG